CCCTAGTGATCACCTATGTAGTACAGTCCTGTGGTCCTTTTTTAGCACTTTCAGAGGCTAGAGGGGATGCTGTAGGGAAATGGAGGCCACTGGCAGGGCAGTGGGTGAGGGGGGCTCTCTCACTAACCCAGTCCCATGCACCTAAACCTACAGCAAGCTCTTTGGATACAACATGACACTGAAGCAATCAGGAATCCTGCCAACCTGACTATATTCAAGTCTTTCTGTGACTGCATGGCACATCATGTATTCTGTATGTAACCACACATCTTTTATCTCCTGCAATATACCAAAAAGAAACAGTAAAATCACAGTTCATATTGGAAACTTTGAATAATAAACATGAATATTTCAATAAAATGCTAATATCCAGCAGTTTCCCTAAAGTACATATAAAAGGAATAGTGAAGCAGCTACAACCAGTTAGCATACTATGATGTCAATATTGTGATGAATGTGAGATTTTAACATACAATGGTATAGGCATACAACACATGCTTCCTCTAAAACTCTGTGTGTGTGTGTGTGTGTGTGTGTGTGCGCGTGCACGCGCGCGTGCTGGGGTAGAATCCATCTTTTTAAAACAATCTAAATGACTATCCTATTGGCATACTTTTTTTCCTTACTCTTGCTCAGGTGAAATATTTGAAAAAATTGCACGAACAGAGCAATTTTGGCACTTTGGGTAGGAGCAGAAAGTGTTAGCAAATTGTTCTGAAAGGCTCTTAAGTGTAACACTGGAATAATATTCTCTGTGCTGGTGAAGGTGTCCTCTTTTTAACCTAAGTATTTACATATTCACATAAAAAGCTGTTCCTGTTATAAAGGGGCCTCTTTAGGGGGGAAAGAAAGAAAAAGAAGTACCATCGTGCACAGGTTTTTGAAATCATTTGTCAGAGAGCCTATTTTACAAACTGTAATCAGAAGGCACACAGCACCACCAACCTAAGGAACATTTGGAGGAAATCTGCGCAAATTCTGAGGGGCACATCAAGCAAAACAATTAATATACTTGAGCCTTTTGAGTGGTTGGAACTTTCCTGCCACAGAGAAAAGCAATGTGCTTAAAACTTGTGGTATATTGGTAGCTGCCTAACCTTTAACAGTTCTGCTTGAAAGTAGGCCCTTTTGATTTAAGTGAGATCTATTTCCAAGCAAGTGTGCCAAGGATCGCTGAAAACGTGTATGACCTCAAGGTGTGTACGCAAAAGGGCTTGTTCTGGAAGGGCAATTGCTCCACATACTTAGAATTATGTTCTGCATGGGAGAATGTTCCCCTGGTCAGCTCTAGATGTATTATAGCAACTCTAAGGTGTCTATGTACAGCATCTTAAAAGAAGTTAACTTACCTGCATTGTGAAAGCAATGGATAGTTAATTCACCTGTCCCCATAGTCTTAGCCATATCCATATTGCCATAGTATCTGCTGTTGCTGGTGTTCCAATCATCTTCCTGTACAATTTTGTCCCACTTACAAGAGCTATTTCACAGTCTGCTCATACAGTCACTGGCAGGACTAGTTAGGTTATCAAGCAATGCTATCCTTCCTGCTGGTTGTAACTTTTGTACAGCTGTTTTAACCGTTTTTGAATGGACTTCTGCTCAGTTCTCATCACGGAGGCATTGAAGCAGGGTTTGAAGACCTCTTTCTTCACATCTGCCTTGAATGCTGTAACCAACAGAGCCAAGCAGTGACTTTTGCCAGTCCACAATGGCTCTTATTACAATATTCAGAGGCAATAACCACACCAGTGGGTGAAGATTTATTTACAGAGCAGCAGGCAAACAAAAACAACTATGAGCAAGCATAGTGCAAAACTTGACACAAATCTGCTACATTGCAAAACAGATGCTCCTTCTACCATATGTTATCAATAAATCTGATGAGATAGGCGGTGAACATACTGTAATGGCCTGGGCCACAGCACCAGTGCAGTTCAGCTACAGCAAGGTTCTCCCACTTTGTTAGCAGCTTCTGAATACTGAAATTTGAAGCAAATATTTGAAATAAATAAATGCATACATATGAAGATTATGGTCCTGCCTCTTAGGCAGTAAAATTAGAAGATAACCCTGCATTCTGTTCTATCAGGTTGGAGTGGGCTTTCAATTTCCCGATGGAGAATCAAGGCCTGGCAGAGCAGTCACTGTGCACATCTCAAAAGTCTGGCAATGTTTCATCCCACAAGAGTGAAACATAACAAACTAAAGCAGGGGTCTTAAAACTTTTTCAACAGGGGTCCAGTTGAAAGGTGCCAGCGATAGGCATCGGCCACCAAGGCAGTGTGGGGGGAGAGGGGAGCACGCACACGCAAGGCACAGACTTGCTCGCAAGGAGATCCTTTTCTCCGAGCAAGTCCAAAACTCTCCTTGCAAGCAAACCGCTGCTGGGCGTGCGCACTGTGAGGGGGAGGCTTGCTCACAAGATCCTTTTCTCCCAGTGAGTCCAAAATGATCTCCACATGAGCAAACCCCCACCTCACAATGCGTGAGTGCGGCTAGTCCAAAACCTCTATGGAGGGCCAGATAAATGGGCATGGTGGGCCAGATCCAGCCAGCGGGGTGTAGTTTGAGGACCCATGAACTAAAGCAACCATCCAAGCTATTCCTCAGAGAAAGTGTTTAAAAATTAGCCAGTGATTAGTGCAGGTTGCTTCTCAGCCTAAGATCAAGTGTAGTATCTATTCTTATCTGATATGTCCTCCATTTGAGCACTAGACGTTCTTAAAGAGCTAGTGTGCTATAGTGATTAAAAGTGTAATTAAGAGACTATGTTCTCCAGATCTCAGCCATGAATCCAACTGGATGACTTTGGGACACTCATTCATTTCAGCCTAACCTTACGGAGTTGTTGTTGTGAGGGAAAGTGGAGAGAAAGAACCACCTTGTAAGCTACATTGAGTTCCTTGCAAAAGGAAGACAGGTGGCTTGCAAAAAGACAGTTCCTTGCAAAAGGAAGATAGGTAGCAGTTCTGGCTTCTTTCATCACTTAGGCTTGATATCACTTGATATCACCCTGTTTTATCCTAAGCATGCAAGATCCTTATTAGATCGAACCAAGGTCTACTTCCCTTCATCTGTCCTGAATCTTACCAGTTTCATTGCATTCTAGGAGAGGAAAACTTCTATAGTTTTGCCACACTGCTCTATAGTGTGCTGCACCTCAATAGTTGCCTTTGAACCAACAAGTCCCATGCCTTACACCAGGACTGCACAAACTCTTTTAGCCTGAAATTCCAATTCAGAGTAGTTTTTGGGGACACATTCCTTTGGTCAATTGGACCAAAGCCAAAAGGGGCCAAACTGCTGTTTATTTTAGGTTAATGCTATTAATGCCAGTGACTAACCCTTAGGAAAAGTATTAAGTTCTTTTAGATTGGGGGAAAATGCACAAAAGCTGAGAACTTGCCAACCAACAGTCAAGGGAACGGGATGGATCCAGGAGACGGGAAACCCAGAGGGCCGAATTTTCCCCGGGGCTCTCAGGTTCTGTACCTCCTAACAGTTTTCTTCCATCTGGAAGGTACTCCATCTCCCTGGTAATTTTGGTTGGCCTTTCTGAACCATTCCTAGCTCTACAACAGGGATGAGGAATACGCTGGGGTGCAACTCCCATCAGCATTAGGTAGCAGAGTTAGTAATGAAGTTCTAGCCTACATTTCAAAACATCAAATCAAAACAAAACTCAATTTGTCATATACAAGAAATTGTTAATAGTTTAAGGAATCATTTGCCAATGGTCATAACTTGAGATTACTAAGTGCTGGTTTAGACTCAACATTCCCTGGGCATCTTCTGGATGAATGTACTTCACTTTAAAAAAAAATGAAAAAGATCAACTTCACTCCAACTTTTTCTCAGTTCTTTTGCTCTTCTTTTCTGCTATGCAAAAAGACCATGTGGGGAAAGGGACTAAAACATCTTTAAAATTTTTATAGACTCTCAAGTCAGTCTGGAAGATGGTGAGTTTTACTGCATATTTATTAAATGACTCAAGTGACTTGAGTAAGAAATATATGACTAACCTACTGAAGTAGTCATTTGCTTTCTTTCCCAAAACCATGCAAAATTGGATAAAGACAGAAGACTACTTAATGTTGACCTATCTAGTTTTCCAAACCTATCCATTTGGCCTAAGGGCACATCCTTTCCAGAGAAATTGGCTTAGTGCAGGGGAGCGATGTTGTCTTGGAAATAACCCTACCCAGGACTCAACAATAGTGAGCTGACTCAACAAGCCTTCCCAAGTCTCTCTGTAGAAGCTGGCAACATACCATTATCACATTACCCAATTACATCATGGTATATTGAAGCTTATTGAGTTAAATGAGGTTAAAGAAAGTATTGCTAGTATTAATATTATGCTACTCCCATCTATTTCCCCAATCTACTCTTGAACTACTCTGACCCTTTCAGATGAAAAACAGCACTGGGTGGTACACTCTTTGAACATTAATACAGCGTTTTATTGCGCTTCACTTTGAGGTTAATCAAGTATGAATACTTTTGTTTCCTTGTTCCGTTGCTGGAAAGTTTGCAATGTGGCAAAGTTTGGCACTGTCACATTACTGCCAATTTTAGAACAAGCAAATATTTGGGCATAGAATGGAAGCTTACCTTCAGTATCTTTCAGATTAGAATAGGAAATTTCCATTTCCACACTTCTTCCTGTGGGTTGCCTTTAATGCAAGACTTTCTTCTTAATTGGATTTATGAAACTTACACTTTTCACTTGCTTAAGCAAAGGAATCTGGATGTTGCCATTTTATTTAAGATGTTTTAAGCACTGATAAAAGGACAATCAATGCAATTTTCCCAGTTCTAATATAAACTGATGAAATGCCACAAATGAAATTCTTTAAATTCACTCATAACCAGTATTGTTACAGTATTAAGGAAATTAACATGATAATAAATCCATGTTTAGAATAACTAGCAATATTATCTTAGACCCCTATCAGTAACCCAGAGGGAACCTGAATAGTACTGGAACAATACAATGTTTTGATTCTTTTTTTATTTATTTATACAAAAAACCCACAAAATTTAAGGTAATAATGGACAGCATAATATCTTTTCTTCCATCTTGTCCCAATATCTTCAGTTTATCATCTTTCACATCTATGTTCAATTTACAGTCCAATCTGTCACTGGAAGCTATGAGGTTTCCATCTTGTAGCCGTGTTTTTCTAGCTCTGCTCTGTAAAGATAAGCCATCCCAGACTACTGTCAAATCATTCATACTGTGACAACATTAAACTGCTCTCATTGAAATCAATGGAATTTCCTTTAGGTGACAATTATGTACCAAATTACTTACAAGTAAGCCTCATTTAACACAATGCAATTTACTTCTGAGTAGATATGTAAGATGACAACCAGTCATTGTAACTTTTCATATTGATTTCAAGGGGCTTTACATGCAACTTAATTTAGTCTGGATTCAACACATTACATTTATCCTAACTTTGGATGCAACATTATATCCCTTCCTCTCTCTTGCATCTGTGATGCCTTACCCTGTTTTCCTTATGCTGCCCATTTTCTAGTTATTGAGTTTCCAAAGCAGACAAACAGCACAAATTTTGCTGTTTATACAACTTGGACAACTCTTCTTAGTAGTAGTATTTGCTCTCGGAGAGTAAAAGAAAGCAGGCTTTGGAAAGCATGCAGCCAGTATAACAGAAATAAGCTTTCACTTTCATTCTGATTAACCAAATAGTCATGTAGTCTAAATCCAATCACACTGTGGTAAATCTTAACTATGGTTTGTGATACACCAACTTCATAACCCATGGTCTCAAGTTCCTTGTTTCAACTAACCATAATGAAGTCTGAATGACATGCTAAACTTGGGTTAATCCAGAAGAGAAGTGGAGAAGAATCTCCTTCTTATAGCATGAGGAGGAATATTAGCCTAGAGGAGGCCAGGCTGGTTAATACAACATGACATCATGATTTAGTATTACAACTGAACGGGGCCAGTGTTCTGTAAGAAAACATTGTTCAACGTTGGGCACATGAGAACCAATTCCCATATGTTTTATTGCAGGCCATTTATATCCTACATTTTTTCTCCTGAAAGGACCTTATATGATCCTTCTCCTCTCAATATTATCCTCACAACAACCCTGTGTGGTAGATTACACTGACAGTCTGCCACTGCCAGATCTGTTTCTTGTTTTAACAATTCAAGCCTGCATTTTTTCTTGGTTTATTTGCATGTACAGAACATTTTCAAGTTACCTTAACTGATTGGAGAAATCATCTTCCACATTGTCATCATCCCAGTTGTCCTCCCACACATGTGCATCTTCATCTTCATCTAAACCAGCCCAATCTGAAAAAAGTGGTTCAATATTTGAATGTGAAAAGGCTTATAGGATATCATTCCATGTAAGTCTCCTTAAGGGACAGTAATATGAACTCTGCTTAACAATCAAATTAAAAAAAAGAATAGCAGTTAAAAACATAGGTGTTCATTGTAGCTACTGTTTTCCTAGCATCTCAGTTCATTCTGTAAGATAATGCTCCATTAGTGTGAATGGAGATGTTTTAACAGTTAGATTTGGACCAGAGCCAAAAGTCATGGTTTGTAAATGCATGACTGAAGTCAATGATAGAAACACTTCATAAGTTTATCCCCTTAAAGATCTGGCTAATAATTTCTGGCCACATATATCTCAAGTTTGGGAGGTCAAATGACTCTGTTTGAGGTGCAAGAAGTGAGCAGGTGAGCTAGTATCAGGCAAGCCAGACAACAAGGTAGGGTGAGGAAAAGAGGTGAGTGAGCAGCAAACTAGATGCTGTCTGACTAAAGATCAGGTACTAGCCCAAGAACAAGGTTGGGCTCCCTTAGGAAAAGTCAAGGAACTTGAAATATAACTGACTAGCAAGAGGTGCAAGAGATCAGTTACTATTCATGCCTTCAAACTCCATAGCAACAGCTTCAATACCAGTTGGGGCCATAATACCAGGAAATTTTATAACTGACATGCGAATAACTCACACATCATACTTTTATCATCACTGCAAAAAACAAATGGGAGCGCAAGCTATTAAGCAGTGTGCTTTTTCATACTATTGGCACAAAAATGTAAGGTTTGAGACACACAAAGTCAGAGGCTGTTAAGTGAACAGTGCACTGCTGTAGACTTTTTCTAATACTGTCCTGCCGGACATAAAAGCTAGCAGAGTTAGCCATGTCTTCCTACTGATTACCAAAGTAGAAGCTGACATTCCAAATATATTTCTTTCCGGTCTCTAGCACTCCATACAGAAAAAAAGTGTGCACCAGCCATGTACTCAAACAATATCGTGTTACCTGATGCAAAAAACCGAAATTACTCTGTTATGTCAGTCCATTAGCCTTGCTGCTAAAATAGTTTCATAGTGTTTCTCAAAAGGTACAACTTATGGATGTTTCAAGGTATATACATCCTAGTTTATGATGCAGCATATTTGGGAATCATAGATTTTAAAAAATCTAAACTGAGTTTACATAAAGCCAGTACAAATCTAACGACACATGGGCCCAAGAAACGTGTAGATGTTTAGAAGCCAGCATTGGGATGTGCAGAATGCCTCCTTTGTAGCATTTCTCCAAGGCAAAATATCCCTGGTCTACATAACATCACTAACCAGTTTCTCTTTACTGTAGTTCAAGACTTGGTCTAAAAAAGCAATTTGTAAGTGTTTAGGGCAGGGTGGATAAAAATTAATGATTTTTTTAAAAAATAAAAAATTAGATTTTAAATTTAAATTGGATTTTTTAAATAAAATACTTTTTGAGGAAAAATTACCTAAAGATAGTTTTCTAATTAAGATGCATTATAGTCTAAAGGTTATTCATCATGAAATGAGGATTAGTTCTTAATTATGCAGCATGAGGCTGTATATTCATGCAATGTTTAAATTTTTTGGTAAACAAATTCCATTAATCCATTCACAATGTCACACTCTTCCAGAGGTTTCTGTAAGATCACTGGGAATTTTTTTCTATCTAGAAGGTATTATCACAGATGCTTGGTTTTACAGTTTTTAGAATTGTGAATTTGTGTCTGCATGCATCTTTCTTCACAGCAAAAATGTGAAAACAAGCATACAGAATTAAGAAAAGACCTTCATCCCATTGTTCCTTTGCAAATGTATGTACACAAAATAACCCCCTTACTTCTTAAATGTTAAGTTTCAGAAAATTCAACGAACAGAGGATAGTTGGGAGTGGAAAAGATCTGCACAAGAAGCTAAGTATGAGAAAGGGGGCAAACAGTAAAAAATTTAAGTGAAACTTTTTGAGCAGAATACTCCATAAGTATTTGAATCTTTCTGTGTACAGCCAGAGGTTTATCATATTGTTCTTTCCCAGGAGGAGAAAACCTATAATGGCAACAGGCCATAAATGAGACCCAGTTTGGGAATATTTTAATGAAGTTCCTCTACCTATGGGTAAGGGAGGCATGCATGCAAATTATGTAGAAAACTGTCATTTAAATCTAGTCTTACTGACTAGTGATTTAACTTATGATTTAAATTGATTTGATTTCAATCAAATCCACCCTGATTTAGCGTGCAATTGTATTCATTTTCATACAAAAAAAGAAAAAGAAAACAACTCTTCACATGCTGGTCAGGGTATGCTGGAAGTTGCAGGATTTTTTCCAGTTTAATCATGCATATAATAAATATTTTTTAAATGTCAATAAACTGCTGAACTTAGGTTAAGGCAAATAAGTTGAAAAGGAAGGGATGAATCCTGAGGTTCACTGTTAAACTGATGACAGTACTCAGCAGGAAGACAGTGTTATATCAGTGCTGGCCCAGAGAAAGAAACTATGGATACAACCAAAGAAAGAAAAAGATCATAAGAAGATGCACTTTCAGTAGTTCTACACTTGGCTACAGTTGGTGTAATTTCGATTCACAAACTGGACTGGGTCAGAGTACCTAACTGACTTTGACCTTTGATTTGCTTTTTGGAACCTGAGCTTATGATACCTTACTCTTCAATAAAAATCAAGTGATGAGCTTAACAATAAAACTTGTGAACATACATATTTGAAAACAAGAACAGAAAAATTCCAAGTGCCTGGATACGTAAAATTCTGCAACCTTAGCTTAAACTGGCCTATTCAACAAGCTTCCTCTAATTGTCATTACTACCAGGTTAATCAACACAATGGAACAAAGTTGATTGAAAACAAACTATTTTCTGCCTTTCCTGAGACACTAAACACAGAAATACAATACATAACTGAAAAGGAAACTTTTTTTTTAAGAAGTGCTTCCAAGCATTCAGCTATTATTTATTTTCAGCTGTCAAGATTAAGCACTGTTGAGTGGGAGGGAAGGAGGCTGGAGCACTGATAGGAAAAGGCATAAGAGGACAGCAATAGCTTCCTGCTCATCCCCAGCACACCCCTTTTTGTCCTCTCAGAGGTCTAGTTACAACTTCAGTGAAGTAGCTTGCATGATTCTTTTGTGGCAGCTACAAGGGGGTGTAGGATGAGCATTCAGCCTTCTCAGTGCTAGTTCTGAAATTAGATGATCTCAGAAGCTGGGACTCCAAATATTCCTGTGACTCCTCCAGACAAAGCAATGCGACCAGAGGGTTCCCTCCTAAGTGTGTATGGGTGATTGGTAATTGCACTAAATTGGAAGCAGTTCCATCTAAATATGACTCATTTTCAAGTAAATGGGTATAGGCATTGGGTGAAAGCCACACTCTTTTCACAAAATCAAACTGCAAAAGTGCATTTTAAATGCAAACATCAAAGTACACTTGATGTTGGTAGTGATACTTGGGTAATATGCCTGACATGACAATGGAGAAAACCTCTCCTTCATCCACCCTCCATATAGACCGTTGATTTGAATATGAGGTTCTATGTAACTTGAAGCATTTTGCGCATTAGTTGGCCCAACAATGGCTCCGTGTTCCCATAGTGTTTAATCTTGCTGTACAATCATCAGCAATCTTAACATAAAAACAGGACAGAAAGACTGTAAGACTATATTTTTTCATGTAGCAAGAGTGAAGTCACATATAGTATATTTACCACTATACATATAATTGCCATCAAGTTGTGTTGTTTCACTCTGACCAAATAAAATAAACAATTACATGACACTACAGGGTATCGGTGTATTAGTAAATTGAGCACTGAAAACCAAAATTACAAATACTATTTTTATAAACACACTTAGCAAATTATTTTAAGAGTTAATTTGACTTACAAGACAAAATGTCAGCTGTCCACTGCTCTAAAATATACACACAACTTGTATTTGTACACACAATATTTGTAAAGTGAAGAAGTTATGTGATGAAGTAGTTAACAGTGCAGGACTGGGACTCAAACAATTTGGGATCTAGTCCCCACTCAGCCACTGAGTGACTTTGGGCGAGGCACAGACTCTCAGTCCAACCTACCCTCACATGGGTTGTTATTGTGAGGATAAGGCTGAGAGTAGGAGGAAATTATGTAAGCTGCTTGAGTTCTTTGGAAGGAAAAAAGGTGGGATACAAATATAATAAAATGAATGAATTCTCAAATGCATGTGTCAATGGAATATATATACCATAGCACAATGGAATTGATCTCAGATGGCAGAATCTGAATAGCAGTAGCCAATTCATCACTGAAATTACTGGAGAGTGTTTTCCTAATATGTTAGTATAATTTTGCATTAAAAAGATATGTGCATTGCACATCATAAAGTAAAGTTTGAGAGAGAAACATGTCAATGCATATTTTAAAGATCATATTTATAGTAACTGGTCAATACCACCCAATAAAATTTATAATCCTTCTTTCATGAGTCTTCAAACTGATGACAATTAGCTTGAATTATTATTTTTTTGAATAAAACATCAAAACTCTTATACCCAGGAAATACAACCCAAATCCATAAAAGCCAAAAAAAAAAAAAAAAGCTAATTTTAGCGTAAGGTGCCTTGCACCATGTTTTGGAAAATAACAAAGTCAGGATACAATGCACTGGAGTGTCAAAGTGTAATACTGCTAATTATTATGTTATCTAGTATATATAATGATTTTAATAGTTTTGCAATGGTATGTAATAATTGAAAATTACCTGTTAAGGTCAGAAACACTATACCTAACTATGTTTTCACTCACGAAAGAAAAATTGTATACATATAACCTATAACCCATAGTTTCATGGGAGGAGAAGGCTATCAAAGGCTATTAGCCATGACGTCTATATGCTACCCCCAGTATTAGGACCAGCAACATCACACATACCAGTTGCTTTCCTGTGAGCAGCCGGTGGGCCCTTTGGTCTGAACCTGAATAGCTCTTATGTTCAGTTTAAAAATTGTGTAATTTCTTATCAGTTTGTGGCAAGTAAGTTAAGCTTTTTCCAATGTTATAGAAATAATCAAGTTAAATACTCAGAATATTTGGAATCATTTAACAAAGACTAGGGCCCCTAATTCCCAAGTTTTAGATGGTGATCTTCAACGCACTTACCAGGGAGTAAGCTCCAGTGAACATAATTAAGTTTACTCTCAAGTAATCATTACTATTATTGCATTTATATCCAAACCTTTTTCCCACAAAGTAACCCAAGACAGCTTACATAATCTTCCCCCTCTCAATTTTGCTCTCACAACTACCTTGTGAGGTAGGTTAGGCTGGGAGTCAGTTACACGTCCAAAGCAACCCACTGAGTTTCACAGTTGAGTGGGAACTGGAACCCAGATCTCCCAAGCCCAGGTCCAACACTCTGCTACATCACAATGAAATGCATAGGATTGCCCCGTTAAAAGGATTATTTACTCTGCAAGATCAAGACTCATTACTTAGAATCAGGTCCCCCTCATTAACAACAACAATAATTAATAAATGTGGGTACTGTATGAACTGTTCTTTGTTACTAAGCTACAGTTTACTTCATTAGGGTTTTGTTACTTTTGTTAATCAAGGATAGTTTCTCTTTTGCCAGTCATTTAAGAGCTGGAAGACCTCACTCCTACCAAGCATCTGCACTAACATATGAATAATAGTACAATTCTAGCATGCTTGGATAAACAAAAAGTTTGTAAAAACTTTAAAAATAAAATAACTTTAAACATAAAAATAATAAAATAACAGAGGTTATGTTAATAACAACATCTTTCTTTAGCCCAAATTTCACAAGTGAGGCAAAACCTGAAGATATATTTCTATCTAATTTTTTTTAATTAAGCAAAAATATTAACTGATTCTTTTCATCAGAATGCATGTGTTCGGTAGAACTCGCTTTTCTTTCTCCTGGTGCCTCGAGACATTTTCGACTACAACTCTCAGCATTCCTGGTAGTTGGTTATGCTGGCTAATGCTTATGGAAACTGAAATCCAAAACACCTGCAGGACACTAGGTTCTACAAGGCCATTAACCGGACGGCCCCCCACGCCAAAGGCAGGCGTAAGGCACTGTCTTCTCTCAGGAAAGCCAAGATGCCCTAAATGTCAATAGCCGGCTGGAGGAACTAGCCAGAGCATGGTGTGAATGGATGCTGAAGGCTCCCGAGTGGTTGCTGGGAAATCAGGCCTCAGAATTAGAAGGCCTCAGCATTCTTAGACAGAGCAGGATTAGGCCGTCCGTGTGCAAGAAACCCGTGTGCAGGCGCGCACGCTTCCGGGGCTTGTTTTGGAGCCTCTCAAAAAGGCTTCTACAGCGCGACTCCCTCCCAGTGCGTTGGACGGGGATAATGGAAGATGTGGTCCAAGCATCTTGGGGGCAGTAAGTTAGAGGAACCGGCTCTAAAACCTCCCCAAACCTCGCCCAAGACTGCACAGTCACGGCCTCTACCCAGTTCCGCCAAGCCCAGCTCAGTCCACCCGGCTCTCGCCCAACGCCCCACTCCCTGTCTTCACGTCTCCTCTTTCTCCCCGGCCGGCTGCCTGGTCTCTACCTTCGGCTGGGAACTCCTCAAACTCGTCATCCTCCTCTAGAAGCCCAAGATCAACGGGCTGTTTCTTCTCCGACATGACGGGCCGCAGCCAGTCGCCGCCGTTCTAGGGCCCACTCTACTGCTCCCCGCTGAGAATGATGGGATAGTGACGGAATCGGCCAGCCAACGCACAGCAGCCAATGAACAAATGTGCGAGCGAGCGGTTGAGGACGCACGCGCGCTGGACGGGCCTCCGCAGTCGCCTCTCGTGAACACGCGCCGTGCGTCGCCGCCCTCCCCGCCCCGCGTCCTTCTCCCGGTGGCTCCCTTCGCGGGGCTTCTTCCTTTTAGCGAGGGGACCTCAGAGATGCGCGTACAAGGACTTGAGCCCGCTCTTCTTTTTTGGGGAAACGGAAACACTGGGGAGAAAGCAATGAGGTGTAGGGCAATAGAAGCATAGCCAGTTAGTCAGCCCCATCAAAGCTTATCTCGTGGTGATGGTTCTTGAGGAAAACACACACCAAAATCCACAGCTGAGCTCTATCTTGATAAGGACCAACCAAAAATGTGCAGTTATCCGGAACTCTTCATCTGGCTGGGTGGGACAAACAGCAGGTGAGGAGGACTCAAAATAAGGATTCACACATGCTTGGGAGTGAGTCCCATGTAACTCAAACCTTAATCTTGAGTAGACACGTGCAGGATTGTGCCATGAGTGAACTTGTCAGCATTAGCAGTTTTTGGGGCCAGATTATAGCTAGTTAGGCATTTTGGGAGAGGCGCAGCAATGGTTGATGTCTATTTATGAAAACACGAGGTACCACTTTAACTGATCTGCTCTCACCATTGATGAAACATGCAGGTTCCTGAGTAGGCATACAATGTCGTCTTCATTTATGACATTTTAATGATGCCTTCCAACAAGCATAGGGTAGTGTTTACTTTCTCCATTGTTATCCTCACAACAACCTTGTGAGGTACCTTTTGTTGAGAAATCATGATTGGCTTAGACTCAAGATGACCCCAGTGCACTTTGTGACTGAGTGGGGATTTGAACTGAGCTCTAATACTAGCTTAGCACAATACACACATTCATTACAGTTCTTCATACCCTGCATATTAATTCAGTGAATTTACAAGGTGGTTTTCAAAATTATAAAATACTATACAGTAAACGCTATAATAAAAATAAAATAGTAGAAATTCAATACACCATAAAATGTATTTAACCTTTTCAGAACAAAACCCCAGGTTTAATCACAAACTATCATGTAAGACCTTTTCTAGTGCTTTTAAAGAAAGAAGAAAAGAAAAATAGCCTTTTTTTCTCTTTTTCTAGCTTTAGAGGGGACAAGGGCTCCTGTATTTTAAATAATTCTATAGAAGAAGCATTTCAGCTGGTGAAGCTTGTCATACAAAAGTTCAAAAGCTACATTCTGCATTGCTATTAAAGGAACTCCGAATGTTGGGTTTAATCTATAAAGCCTTACACAGTTAAGGACCTTATCACCTAATGAAGCACTTGTCTCATACATGAACTTACCCATTACATGATTATTGGAGGCTCTTCTTTAAAGAATGTTTGGAGAATGGCAATAAGGGAGAAGGCCTTTTTAGTGGTGGCCCCGATTGTAGAATGTTCCATCCAGTGAGGACTACCTAGTACCTACATGGTCTTTTTTTTTTTTTTTTTTTGGCACCAGGTTAAGCATTTCCTTTATTCCCAGGCATTTGATAGCATATAATGGAGCTTTTGATGTTAGGGTTTTTTTAATAGGTATTGGTAGCTTTATTATTTGTTTTAAACTGTTTCAAACTGTTTTACATTTTTGTACATTAAAAGCTTTTTATTATGTTTCATTGTGTTGTGAACAATTCAGAGAACTTTGGCTATTGGGGAGAATAGAAATGGAATAAATGAATGAATTTTGCTTGTCTTGGTCATCCCTTCTCTGATTTTCTTT